GACAGAGTCTTGCTCTGTCGCCCAGGCTGGAGTGCAGTGGCACGATCTTGGCTCACTGCAGCCTCTGCCTCCTGGGTTCCAATGATTCTCCTGCCTCAGCCTCCTGGGTAGCTCAGATTACAGGTTCACGCCACCATGCTTGGCTAATTTTTGAATTTTTAGTAGAGACGAGGTCTCACCATTTTGGCCAGGCTGGTCTCGAACGCCTGACCTCAGGTGATCCATCCAGCCTCCGAAAGTGCTGGGTTTACAGGCATAAGCCACCGCCCCCAGGCCACAAGAGTTAAATATTATTTTTAAATTTCTTTTACCTTGCTAAGAATACGTATTTATCTTATAATAAAATTATTATAGAAAACCCTAAGAAATTTGTTTAAATTGCTAATTGGTATATTTATAAAACTGATGGGCTGAACAGAGTACAGCTAGTGCTCGACTTACGACCACAATTGGTTCCGACAGACCGGTCGTAACACGATTTGGTCGTAAGTTGAGTAGGCTATATGCACGCGGAGATGGTAGTGCTGCTGGAAACTGGTCCGCACTGTCGTATGCCCAGCTGGGCAGCATTTGCGCCGCCAGACGCAGAGCAGTCGTGGCTAGCGATTGTCGTAAAGTCGAGTGGTCGTAAGTTGCATAGGTCGTAAGTCGATCAATACCTGTATTATATTGGGTTTACTCCCTGCCCCAGTGCTGTTCAGATTCACTCTTGTTGGAGGCCTTATCTAGGTCTGGCCCCACCCTGGAATCTTGCCTCACAGAACTGATTCTTCGAGTTTTGGCTGGTACCTTTCTAGAGTGGGTACTAACAGTTTCCGAATTCCATAAGGAGATAAATGGAAAGAAAAAAGTATGTATTTTAAGGTCTTTGTTTTTAAATTTTTTATTAAAACCAATGCTTTCAGAGACATTCCGTTTAGCAACTTGTTTTCTATTCCTGCAGATCCAGTAGTTTATTTGCAAGTCACAAAGAAGTAAATACAAACACAATAAAAATTTCTCTAAACCACATTAAACTGTTCCTTCTGGCCGGGTGCGGTGGCTCAAGCCTGTAATCCCAGCACTTTGGGAGGCCGAGGCGGGTGGATCACGAGGTCAAGAGATCGAGACCATCCTGG